TGCTTAAAACAATTTTTTAAACTTTTAATGAAAGTTGTTTATTTTCAATGTAGTCGCCGTTACCATGGTAACCGTAGACTTTAAAAAAAATAAAGTTACATTTTAGAGATGTTTTCCTGCTATACCTCCCTGCTATAAGGCTGTATCTAAAATGTCATACTTTCCGAGGTAGGTTTATAAACCCCTTTAAAGATTTCAAAATTTTGGGTTTAGTGCTTCTGAATAGCTGGCCGACGTAATATTCTTCATCTGAGACTTAGTCGCGGGCGGTTCCCGATTATTGCAAACTAGGAATCGAAGGAATCGAGTCCGGACCCAATTTCTTTCCATTGCTGTGATTTCTTCCGGGTGTCCATGATTTCTTCTCGTGGTTCCAACCCCTAGACAGTTACATGATTACTTCCGGCAAAGTAGCAATTACTTTTACTTCCGATAAATCCAACACCTAGCCAGTTCCGATGGTTGGCTTCAAACAGCGCCAGTATCCAGGATAAACTCCATCACGAAACACGACAGGGCACCAACATTTTTCTTTTCAAAAATAAGTTTTCAAAAAATAAGAACTTTTCAATAAATATAGTAACTGGTAACTGTAGGTTTACGTAAAAAAAAAAAAAAAGAATTGGAACTTTTCCCTCTGTGGCACTAACCGCGAGAATCGGTTCCTGAAACGATTCTTAGCCCAGCTCTTATCTGAGAGAGCATACCTGGCTTGTCACAGATTTTCTGATGACGTCGGTAGTCTAGTGGTCAGGCTATCGGACTCGTAATCGTGAGTTTATGGGTTCGGGGGTTCGAGTCTCAGCTCGGTCCGACGTTGTGCCCCCGGTAAAGGCACTTTACACGAATTTCCCACTTGTCTCCGTCATTTCTCAAACGAACGTTAAGGTCGGAGGCCCGCCCCTTAAATAACCTAATAGCGTTGAAACGGGCCCATACCATTTCACCATTTTCACAGATTACCTTTTTACTCAAACGGTCAAAAATGCTTTTTTTTATTATGTCTGTGAAAGGAACAGGTGGAAAATAGAAGACTATCTTCTGTAAATATAACTATCTGAAATCTACAGAAACTTACTATTTGTTTGCTAATGAAGGTGTTTTAACGTCCTCATCGATACAATTAAAATCATTTCGGAGACGCTTCGACAATGCATGTCATGACCAACCTGGGTTGAGAGGGATACAACTTCCAAGCATAGATTCTGACTGAGGTATTTAATAAATAGTCTCCCTACTCTGGAACTGAACACTGGTCTTCTGCGCGCATCGGCGAAGCGCCTAACTGCTACACCACAGACTCCGGTGGTCGCAGAAAAATGAAAAATAAAAGATATACTACTACTACTACTACTGCTACTACTACTACTACTACCACTACTACTACTACTACTACTACTACTACTACTACTACTACTACTACTACTACTAATAATAATAATAATAATAATAATAATAATAATAATAATAATGATAATAATAATAATAATAATAATAATTAATAAATAAATAGCGTTTGTATCTTGGAGTAACTATATAGGGAGAGGCCCTAACGTTGCGTCGCCCGCTCAACAGTTCCAACCAAGTTGAAGCCGAAAGGGCGGAGCTTATCGGGCCTGCCGCCATCTTTGTAAGTTCAAAACAATGCAGCGTACGCAGCGTAATCTCCTTTCAAAACAAGCTGCTCGGACTCCATTGTCTCTCAAAATTTCTTTGTCAATGTTAATTACAGCATTATAAGCACTCACGTACAGTTGTAATGTAATAAGGATGTTAACAAATCTTACTTGCATCAAATTACCAGCTCATTTAGTCGAATATTTACAGTAATACGTGTACTATGTATACACATTGTGATGGTAAGATATTCTGTTTTACATGTTTTAGAGACAAAATTGGGATAATAAGGATCAAAACAAAATTATAAACGGGATGATAACATTTGCTGAGTTTTTGGTAGTCGAACTTCATTATTTTTACAAAAAACGAAGACTTCTTGATAGTAATAATATAATAAGGACAGCAAGAAATCTTACTTGCATCAAATTACCAGCTCACTCAGTCGAACATTTGGTAATACATGTACTATGTATACACATTGTGACGATAAGATAATTTTTTTTACTTGTTTTAGAGAAGAAATTGGGATAATAAGGATCAAAACAAAAATATAAACGGGATAACAAAATTTGCAGACTTTTCGGTCATAGAACTTCATCAGTGCAAAATGATGTCATCACTGACATTATTTTTACAAAAACGTAGTCTTCTTGACTTTAACTTACAACAGAATATATTTCTAACAAAATTGAAAATGATTACACAAAAGATGGTAGTGAGGGTGGGATGGGATGGGCGAAGAATGAGGAAGGAGAGGGCAAGGCAGATAAGAGTGAAGTATGATGGTGGAAATTACCCCCCCCCCCACACACACACAAAAACAAGAATAAAACAGCCCCTCCCCCCCAAATAAAGCGAGGAGGGAGGGGCACCTTTAAAACACCAAGACACTTTATCTAAATTTTACAAAATACTGTTAAGGGTATTGAAAAATTAATAGAGAATTTGAAATGATAGGCTTATAATAATAAGATTTTCAAAACAGATTGCACTAATTTATGACATTTCACTCTTGACAATGTCACACCCCATGCACAGACAGACGACACATGGCATCAAAAATGTTATTCACACACCAAACACACTTCAATGACATTCTTTGAAGGCACTGTCGAACCTCCGACGAGACTTCAAAAAACAGCAAGGAATTTACTTTTGACACATTGGAGTCAACAAAGGCACCGATGCAGGTTTCACATTTTCAAATGCTTTGTCAACCTTAACAACACAAAACCAGCAATGTAAGCAACATGCAGAGCAAATTGACAAGTATGCTAGAGTAGATCTGGGCACATACGTGCAGTTATCATCATGGCAAACTGAATTTTCTGAAATCTTTTTTCATTCTGTTTTTACTGTGAGATGCATTTACGGCTAAATCAGAAGGCACTTCGTCATCAAGTTCAGTGCCATTGCTAGAGACTGATATTTTTTAAAACATTTGGTAGGAAATTTTGAATTTTGCCTGGGTGGCGACCGAAGCCTACCCTTATCGATTTTATACCACCAAGAGACCATTAATTTGCGCAATTTGCATACGCGACCTCCGAGATTTTTTCGCCCTTGTCCGAGAAGGCTAGGGGTAGATCTTTCCTACCAGAAGATCAGGGGTGTGGCTGAAAGACAGAGGTAAGAAGGAGCCAAGGAGTAGCAGTAGAAAGGCTGCAGAAAGAGTCCGGAGCCCTGAGGAGGTAGGGGCAGAAAGTGGAGGTGAAAGCAGACGAAAGAGAAAGTAGAATTTTAGAGAACAAAATTTTTCCGTCACTACTCGGATTCGAACCCAGGACCTTTGAATGAGAGGCCCACCGGACCCGAACGCTACGCAAACTGCCATTCGGTTGACACTAAGTTTACAACTGAGAGAACTGAGCTGATCTCACAAACATGGCCGACCGTCGTCTGCAGCGGCTTCACGTTACGCGACTCGCGGCCTCTCCTATTATAGTTCCTCCAAGGTTTGTATAGCTCATGTCCCCACTCGAAAGCAAGATCTGTGGGCTTTACACACTATATTATTACCTCAGCAGACCATAGAACACTCAGAAACATTCTCAGCTGCCCGGGAAACATGCAGTGCAAGCAGCTGGTTAAGCGCTCAAACACTAACAAACTGACAAGATCTTTCACTGTCTATTATAACTGGGTACCCATTCCCACCTGAGTGAATAGGGGAAAATTCGTGTAAAGTGCCTTTCCCAAGGACACAACATCAGGCCCGCGACTCGAACCTCCGAACCCGCAACCTCACGATTGCGAGTCCGGTAGCCTTACCACTAGGCCAATATAACTGACTTTCCACCTGTGGTTTGGTAATGATTGTAACTTTTAATGATTAAATTTATACAGCGAATATACACGCTCTGACAGGCCCATAATTACTATTTTATTTCTCTCCATGGATTTTACTATTTCTGGTTCTTTGTCTCCCCAAGGCAGCTGACATTCTATGTGCCTATTTTCATCGACGTTCTAGCTCGCTGTCCGTTTACGTTTCCAGGTTCGTTGCCGTGTGAATCAGTCCGTGTATTCTTTTTTGTTTTTTATCCGCCGTCGGCTTACTGGGCCAGTCACGGTCTCACCAGAGCTCTTTCAACTAGTGACGTTTCGGGGTGACACGGGTCGGCCTTCACGGCTATCATAATGCCTCAATGACATAAAGTCACACCGTACATCACCCAGACCCAGCTATACCCTACTTTGTCCTGTGTGCCCCCCCCCCCCCCCGGCGGGGACGAAGGGCTAGAGTTTAGAAGGCAAGAAGACGAAGACCCCACAAAAGATTGGTTTGAGGGAGTCAAGAAAACCCTGGGAAGATATAATATCCCAAATTGAAAGAGCTGTAGAGCTGGTCTACCTTAGAAAACTGCATCTCCCCTCGGCGTTTAACAGCAACAGAGGATAAAAAGTTAAAAGTACAAGTAATATCCACTCTCTACAGCTTGTTCTATGTAATTTACATACAATTGTTACCTCAGCAGACCCTAGAACTCTCAGAAACATCCTCGGCTTCCCGAGCAGCATACACTAACACGCCCTCAAAGACTAACAAACTGACAAGATCTTTAGCTGTCTATAGCCGGGTAGGTGAATGTTAGATCTAATTGAATTTGTAAGTCGCTCGGAGAAATTTTAAGAAACCTCGCCATCTCGGCCAACCGATAAAATAGCTTGCGTCGCCAGATATCAACCAAACAAAAAACTTACAGACTGACGAATGCACAATGCATCGTGGGTCCTTTATTTAGTGAGGACTCACTCTCAACCCCCAAGTGACTGATCAAAGGGAGATAAGTCATTAATTCATCTCGTGAAAGGTAAATAAGTTCCCTTGACCTTTAAGCAGTCGGTGCGACATGTAGATCTATTTAGCAGAGTAGGACATGAAGACCTCATTGTACCGCAAGACTTGCTGTACCGCCAACTCCATGCTCGTGTCAAGGTAGGCGGTAATACGGGGTTTTACTGTACTATTTCAGACAATTGACGAATGAAAGATGGCAGTGTAGAGGCGCAAATACAAAGTTTGTATAAGCGTTCCTTTTCGTGCATTGGCCAAACCTGACAGTAAGCGAGGCTGGTGGTATAACGAGGGTGGTATAACGAGGTTTGACTGCATTTCTATAACTACTGCATGCTAGCGGGTTTGTTTATTTATT